TGAAAACGAAGTGTGGTCAAACCCATCGAGTCCCCTTCATTGGAACTACTGGCGACACCCCTCCATACCTACCTCCCCAGGACCCTCATCCCTCTTGGTCCCACCCAAACATCGCCTTCACTTCTTCTCTTCAGTTTGCTCAATTCATACGACAGGAGGACGTCACGTTCTACTTAGTGAACGCYATGGATCTTCTTCRCTAYGATCCACTCTGTCCTGAGGTTGARCTCATCTCATTGGAGCCCGATTTCCCTGACCCTTCCTCCATCTTCACGGCTCCCATCTCCACATCCACCCGTCAGCCTGCGGATACCCCCTCGACATCCCAGGTCYCTTCGYCGGTCACTGTYGAGTCCACCCATACGTCTCGTGCTAACGCAGGCGTTGAGGAATTCATGCGGTTCACGACCGACTTAGAGYCCGCCGTTCGCGATTTGATTCGAGAGTACCTCGACGTTTTTTCCCCGTATTTCTCATATAGCGGGATCCCTCACATGCGTGGTGTTGAACATTCTATCCAGCTCGTGCCTGACTATCGTGTCCATCATCAGGCACCTTACCGACTCTCGATTCCAGAGGCGATGAAACTCAATCGTCAGCTTGAGGAGCTCCTTCGACTGGGTTTCATTAAACCCAGTAACTCCTCTTGGGGTGCACCCGTCCTCTTTGCTCGCAAAACGGATGAAACTCTTCTYCTCTGCATTGACTATCGCAGTCTTAACCATTACACGGTTAAGAACAACTATCCTATGCCTCGCGCAGATGAGYTGTTTGACCGTCTGRCAGACAACCGYTTTTTCAYGAAGATARATCTTTGTAGCGGTTACCACMAGATCTGCGTAGCCAAAGAGGAYCAGCCGAAGACCGCCKTTCGGTCGTGTTTCGGCCACTATGAGTTCACGGTGATGCCATTCGCCCTCACCAATGCACCCGCCATCTTCCAGACGACGATGAATGACATCTTCAGGGACATCCTTGAAGAATACGTTCTCATATACATGGATAACATTCTGGTCTACAGTCGTWCCTTAGAAGACCATCTCAAACACCTCCGCGATGTCCTACAGCGCTTACGCAAGCATGACTTTTATGCCACGCTTAGTAAGTGYCACTTTGCCCAGAGCAAAGTGAACTTCCTAGGACACCATGTGTCTGACCAGGGTCTCCACATGGACGACGTGAAGATCAGTGCTATTGCAGAGTGGGTCGTCCTCACATCTCCCAAGCAGCTTCACARTTTTCTAGGCCTCACTAGTTATTATAGTAATTTCATCCGGGGATACGCTACGTATTCCTATGTCCTTMCCTCCAATCTCCTCTAGAAGAACCCGCCGTGGTTTTGGAGACCCCTGTGCGAGGACGCCTTTCACGCCCTCAAGAAGGCGATGGCTTGTGCGCTGGTTCTTCACCTTCCCGATTTTGATCGCCCCTTCATCGTCACCACTGATGTGTACAATTTGGTTGTAGGAACTGTACTTTCTGAGGTGTTTCCCTCTCCTCCCGATTCACCTTATCCTCATGTTCCTTCCCCCCCCCCCCTTCCTGTTAACACTGCTTCTCGACTGACGTCTACCATCTCACCACTTCCGTCCACTGAYAGTCCTCCCGTGACTTACTCCCCGACTATCGAGGAGGATGGGACTGTYGAGGCTCGTGCTGGGGATTACCCGATCGTCTTCTACTCCCGTCAGTATCTCCCTGCCAAGATAAATTACACTGTCGATGAACGTAAGGTTCTCGTAGTAGTTTATGCTACCCGGCATTGGCGTCATTACCTGCACGGGGCGCCCTTCACGGTGCGCACGAACAACTCAGTTGTCCAGGCTTTCCTCACGAAGCCCAAGCTTTCCCCTCGACAAACACGTTGGTGGCGTGACTTATCCGAGTTCAGTTTCACCACTCAACCCATCAAAGGTGAAACGAACCGCGTCGCCGATGCCTTGTTCCGCCGTCCTGATCACAATAAGGAACCCATCCATCTTGTTGCCATCTCCATCACCACTGTTGATCAGTCGGTGATCGANGTCGCCGATGCCTTGTTCCGCCGTCCTGATCACAATAAGGAACCCATCCATCTTGTTGCCATCTCCATCACCACTGTTGATCAGTCGGTGATCGATGCACATCGCACTCAGTACCGCCACTGCCCAGATTATCGTGTCATCCACGCGACACTGCGAAGTGGAAACACCGTTCCTTCATACTCCCTCGGTGAGAACGGTCTCGTGTACTGGCATGGCAGATCTGGTTAGCTAGAACCACGTATCTACGTTCCCTCCACCGGACAGCTCCGCGTCCAAGTTGTAACAGACTTATCGTAGACCGTCCGAGTGCTTCGTAAGACGTCCTTATGAGCGTCCTCCACCTATCATGGTGGACGGTCACGAGGAGTTCGTCGTTTCCGATATCGTATCTCGCCGAGCTACCGATAATACCCCTCCACGCATCGAGTACCTTATGCGTTGGAAGGGCTATCCTGACGAGGAGGCTACTTGGGAGCCCCTTGAGCACTTGCAACACGCTCGGATGTTGGTGCGTGCATATGACCGTGGTTGTCGTGGTGAGACATCTGCTCCTACTCAGCCGACTGACCTTTTTCCTCCTCCTCCGACTGAGGAGATCACTGAGGACGAGCCCGCTCCCTCTGAGGCCGTTCTTCGACAGCAGACAGACGCCTCCGCGAGTCCACAACACACTCGTCGACGCCCTCGGCGTCTCGACGACAGATATTCTCATCACCTTCTCCCTACTAACTCACACCATCAGGTACTCCATCATCAACTTCTTCAGGATGTCTGCGTTTTGCGGCTTTGCTTCGACATGGACTCGACTCCTACTTCATCGACGTCATCGACCACCTTGACGATTTCAAGTACCTTGTCGGCTTCGGGTACTTTGGACGTGACTACTTCATGTGACCACCCTACCCTGTACATTCCCTTGCATCTGTCGCATGATGGTTATCACTTAGCTGAGTCTCTTTGAGTTTAGCTCTCCCTTGGTATCGCATAGGCATTGGGACCATAGCGTTATCTTGGCTTCCCTGCTTCCAGCTCTAGCTCCCTCCTCCCCCAGTCAGTGAGTTGTGTGCATGTTTCCCTCACTCACTGCCCTCATCACCCTAGTGCCGGCTCTTGCATGCCTTC